ATCCTGGTGACTGGAATGTTTTGCATGTTGTCCCTTGTTACTGTTTATATTCTTGTCTGAAGCATCATTCCTATACTTTTCCTCTTCTTCTGGTGGTTTCTATCTTCCCTCTGAATGTCTTAGATTCTACATTGGGCTTAAAGCAATGGAGATTCTCTTAATGAAGCATTTGATAGAGAATATAAATAGTATCCAGCACAGAAGCAAGAATATTCTTATATTGCTTTTTCTTTTTCCTTAATTATATTCAGTTTTGTTCTCTCCCTGCAACAAAAGAATAAAATATCTCAATCAGTAAGATAGCGCCTGAAACTTATTTGCTATAACAAATAAGACATACCATAAGGCGACTTGCTGACATGAACACAAGCAAAAGAAGAAAATAATTTATATTTTTGAACTGTTTAAATTAATGTTAGGAGGAGGCCTTTTGGCAATATGTAGTATGAAAGAAAACAGAGATGGTGTGAAACTGTTACAGCTTGATCGTTTTGTGAGGACGTGAACAAGATTAGGAAGAAAAGTACCTGCAAGAGACCTGGCTCCAGTACTAGTTAGTGGTGTGACCTTGGCAAGTAGCTCATCAACCTTTCTTGGGGGTGGTGGGTGGTATATTCAGTCCTTGGAGAATTTTGATGAAAGATTTAGACAGCTGCCCAAGAAAAATATTCATAAACACACTATTTACTTCAAATTGTGCATATATACTTTGAGAAGGCTTATGGACCTCCTCTGGCCCATTCATGTAGGTTTATTGATTCTTGATGAAGAACCTTTGGCCTGGTTGCTCTCTGAAGTCCATGACAGTTCTAACATATTTTAAAAAATTGTAACTTTCAGCCTTGAAATTCTATTTTTTAATAGTAAATGATACTGAAGTTTGTCTTTTTTATGTGTGATAGTCTGATCTATGGAAATAGGTTATAAGCAGTGTGTATTAAATAAAAATCTGTATTGTTTTTTAATTTTTAGGATATGTAATAATGAAAAAGACAAGAGCTAGAAGCAGCCTGAAAAGGAAAATTCTTAAAATTAAAAAAGCTTTAGTTATCTGTCGAAAAACAAAAACAGAAAAAGTACTTTTTTTGTGTGTAGTCAGCTGAAAGTCTTTTCCAAGACTGAAAAATGATCGAGGTTTGGAAAGAATGTAAGTAATCTTCATGCCAGATCTTTAATCCAAAATACTCAAGGGTAGCCAAAGTACTGCATTTTAAAGAGACAGTACTTACATTTCTTTGAGTTAATTATGTAGTCAACTGTGGCATTCCATGATCACTAGATAGTGTTTTCTATTCGACTTTGTATTATACTTTGGGGAAACTTAGTACAAAGTCCAGGAAGTTGATGTGTTTTCATTAGTCCAACTTCTACTGAGGCAGTTTGAAGAGTAGGTCATGCTTTCTAATTTTTCAAGCTGATTTCACTCTTTTGATTGAAGTATGTTTATTTTCCTGTTTGGAAAAGTATTGTGACCCCTTTTTAGTGTTCAGCTCCGTTTAAATGATGATCTGAATTTATCTAATGACCCTAAAAAGTTAAAATAGTTATAGATGTAAACATTAGGTAAAAACAGTGAATTTTTTTTAGGCTAGAGCTGACATTATTGGCAGTAACAACATTCAGAATTAGCCAGTTTCCTGTAGTGTCAAAGTCCAGTCTGAGAAACTGGAATTTAAATGGCTTTGTCTCAGTTTATAAGTGGTTTGCCAATTCTTAATGACCCAAGCACTGGAGATTCTGCTATGTTAGAAATCATGAGCAGAGAGCTTACATGGTGTAAATATATTTTGCCCCTTTAGGTTAGCTTTATCTTTTAGTAAGGTGTAGTAAGCAAGTGGTTGGACTCTTAGATCATTTGTAACTCTTTGTGTGGTAAAAGAAATCTTGGAAAAATGAAACAGAGACAGATTATGAAGCAAATATTAATAGGTATTAACAAGCAATAGTCATTCATTCATCAACCTTTATTATAAAAGCCACTAACGGAGAAGGCTAGAGCTTTATTTCCCCTCCATCTTTCTCTTCTAATCCCCACATCAGTTTTTTCTTGGTGTAGTTCTTATTTTTTTCTTTTTTATGTTTCAGCAGTATGGGAATATTGAACTGCTATTCTCAACTGGTACAACATATTTTCTTAATTTCTTTTTGCTAAAAAGAGTGAGCACAAAGTAGTAGAGAGAACAGAAGATGGTGTATTTTTGTCTTTCTGTGTGTGTAGATAGTTGTGTATGTCAACATAGTGTTGGTTGGGGTGGAGAATGAATTAATGGGGGAGAAAGGTGGATTACCGTTGCTATTCCCTGTTTTCTATATACATTGATAAGATGTGTCACAGAATGAGAAAGAAAAAACAAACCCAAACTAGAAAACACATAATTTTAAATATTTCCAGCATATCTGAAAAGTAAGGTACTTTACAACTTATAAAAACTTGATTGGGGTTTAGGCAGAACCAGTAAATAGCACTTCTTTATCAGCCCCTCTGTGTTTGGAATCAGTAGGAAAAAAAGACATAGGACACAAACAAATGAAACCGCAAAACACCAGCTTTAATGCTGATGAAATATGGCTCAAAAGGCATGCCCTTGGTTGCAGTGGGCCTCCTAATACTTCACCTGATTTAAATTTATCTAGCTGGTTACTAGCACAGCATAGCCTTTCCTGTGGGGATCAGGGACAGACGGGTACAGAAGAAACTAATTTCGCCTCATACTAGGAAAGCTGAACAAATTGACCCTCCCTGCTGTTAGGCAGCAGTGTCTTTCTCTAGATTTCAGCTCCACAGGTGGAGATGAGTAAGGGGGCACAGAGGACCTAGAAGTGTCCCTCCCTTCTGCTCCTCCCCCCCCAAATTAGAAGAATATAAAGAGTGATCCTTTCCCCCAGCACTGTCATATAAATCTCATGTGTACAGTCAAGCTCTACTCCTGGAGTCCAGAGAGAAACAATTGTTGTATCTTTCGTGTATGAGTGCTTGGACACATTTAAATGTTTATTTTATTATTATTGAGAGAGAGAGAGAGAGAGAGAGAGGAAGGGAGAGAGAAAGAGAAGAAGAGAAACATGGATCAGTTGCTTCTTGCCCCTCCTACCAACTGGGGATCAACCTGCAGCCTAGGCATGTGTCCTGACCAGGAGTGGAATTGGGAGACCTTTTGCTCTGTAGGATGGTGCCTGACCCACTGAGCTGCACTGGTCAGGGCTGCTTGGACACATTTACTTTGTTTTGCTAAGAAGCCTTTATTGTTGATTTACATGTAAGAAATTGGAATATCTTGGGAGATAGGAAAAAAGGAAGAGCGTGTGTATGTGTGTATGTGCATGTGTGCGTGTGTGTGTGTATGAGAGAGAGAGAGAGAGAATGGGTGTGTCTGCCTACCCGTGGTTTGAAAAGGTGATGAGGAACCTAGTCCTACACATTTATTTGCATTGGGACCTGTATTTCACCAGTTCCTACCAGTGGATTGGGTAGATTCAGGATGGTGGATGAGAGCAACAACAGAGTATTACACATTTCTGGCTTATTTATGTACCTTTTCATTGGGGTTTTCCCCTTGAAATTTAGTGCAGTGGTAATTATCTTCATAGGCTAACTTTAGGTAGAAGCCCATTTGATCTGTAATGCTGTTTTATTGTTATTTATTGAATTGAGAGAGACAGAGAGAAACAATAATTTGTTATTCTACTAATTGATTGGTTGATTATTGTATGTTTCTGACCAGGGATGGAAATTACAACCTTGCCATATTGAGTTGATGCTCTAAGCAACTGAACTACTTGGTCAGGCCTGTAATGTCGTTTTAATACAATTCCATGCATTTGTAACAATAATTTAAAATTACTTTTTATTGCTGATATATGCCAGTTAGCTGCATTGGAAGTAGTTTTTGTGGCAGGAGGTAAACTGAAAACCCAATCCAAAATCTCTTAATGGCATAAGAAATTAATGTGGAACATTATTTGATGGCCTTTCTTAGCAATTGGATACCTGTGGCTCATTTCTTTTTGGGGAATTTATTATGGTAGCTAAAGTTTTTGGATTATGTAAATTTAAAGTATTTGGCTTTTTAAAAGTGATTTAATGAGGATTTAAACTTCATTCTGATCTTACTGTGACTGTAATGGTACTATAATACATATTGGAACTAGATTTTTTTTTTATTGTGGAGGTTATTTATTTATTTCATTTTTCTCCTTTTATCCTTTTCAGTGAGAACTTTTTCTTCTTTTAGTTGCAGTAAACTTTCTTGTATATACCTGTCCTAGAAAAAAAATGTATAATTTACATAAACCTGTTTTATGACAATGGAGGATCAGTTGATACCCTTTTGTTATAAACAATAACAAATTACTACTGAAAATCATTAAATAATATGTTCCCAAAAGATTTTTACTTAATCTTTTACATATTTTATACAGGTTCTCAAACTTTTTTGTTCTCAGTTTCTTGGCTTTTATTGTCAAGTGCATGTATAGTTAATTTGTCACTTTGTAGCTGATTCAGAGTGACAAATATTTGCTGATTCAAAGTAAATATTTACATTTTATTTATAGCTGTCGTTTTCTTTTCAATTTATTTCTCTAATGTCTCTTTTGATGATTCTTTTAATATTTGTTAGCCAGGTATTCTTGAGTCTTGTTAGTCTAATAGTGTTATAAGTAGTAGAAATAATTTTATTTAAAATTATTTTGTGCACCGGCTGGTGTGGCTTAGTGGATTGAGTGCCGGCCTGTGAACCAAAAGGTTACTGGTTCAATTCCCAGTCAGGGCACATGCCTAGATTGCGGTCCAGGTCCCCCATTTGGGGGCATGTGAGAAGCAACCACACATAGATGTTTCTCTCCATCTCTTTCTCCCTTCCATTCTCTAAAAATAAATAAATAAAGTCTTTTAAAAATTATTTTGTGTTTGTCTTGGGAATAAACACAGTTTAAAAATTATTAGTAAGTAGTTCCCTGGTTATAAAAAACACAATTCATGTAACTTTTATGTGTTTCAGAAACCTTTTTCTAAAAAGGACAAAGGACCTCAAATCAGTTGTCCATAGTGCTCCTGGCTGGAAATTATTTGGTAAAGTACCCCCCAGAGAGAATCTTCAGAAAACTTCTAAAATTATTCAGCAGGTAAGTACTAACATGACCATGTGTTTGTCTTAGCTTTTCAAAATTCTTTTCTTGGTAATTAAATCATACTCTGCTTTCATTTATCCTTATGCACATATAAAATTTTGGGATTATGGGTATATGTAGTAACATTAATACTTATTTTTAAAAACATTACAATTTTTCAGTTATCTTTTGTGGTTGTGAAATTTTTTTATTGGGCATTGATTTTGTTCCTTAGTTGCTCCTTGGATAGCTTTTTGTTGTTTTGCTTTGGCGGCAGTTAGCTCACTACTCTCACCACAGACTTTGACTTCTAATTGAACATGGTGGCATTTGCCAACTGCACAAATTTTATGGATATAGTTAGTTGTGAACTTACAAAACAGTAAAAAGTAAAGACTGAGTAGATTTTGAAATTGAACTCTTTTCTTGGTTACTTTTCTGGTGGTCTGCCTAAACCAAGGACTTTGTGGGATGGGTGGGTACATAATCTGTTTTAGTAATTTAGGAACTAATTCTTCTAATATCTGTATTACTATTCATATTCTTGCACTTTTAAGAATTTCAGATTTTATTTGACTCCTTAATACACAGGTGGCAAACACAAGGCCTACAGGCAAAATATGGTCTTCCACCTTGTTTTATCCTGCCCTGCACCTTGTTTCTACCCAGTGGCAGCACCGAGCTCTCGCTTAACGGTTAAGGAGTAGTTACATTTATACAGTCCTCAAATTACCTTTGGCCCTTTGAAGGCAACCGTGAGGCAACCTCGTGGTGAAAATGAGTTTGACACCCCTGCCTTAACAGAGCTAGGAGATCAAGACTGGAAAGCAGCAGGAGCGGATCGCTTTGTAGCATTTTTAAGATAGGAGAACTTATTGCTTAGAAAGAGTTATATAATAAATTTTCTATTTCTCTGCTTCCCAGTGCAGTTTATGAAATTAACAAAACCAGCCTTATAAAAAATAATTACCATAATTTGAATGAGGCAATAACCATCATTCAAATTGGAAAAAAATATCTTCCTTTAAGATTTTAATAGTGGTTTTTTTTTATGCTCAGAAGAAAAAGTGGTTTCGCAAGTAATATAAGAAAATAATTTTTAGATCTTTAAAAACATTTGTTATAGTTAATTTTATACACAATTAATTAAAATATTGACTAGTTTAAGTAGCTGCTGGGACTTAAAACGATGCTGATTCCCAAGGTGTGTGCTCAGGCACCCCATGTGCTGCAGCTAATGTAGGTCAGTGATATTCCACATCTGTCAGATACGATACAGACTGTCAGCTTGAGGTAACATAAAATTTCAGTATTAAATGGCACTGTGTTCTTTTCTGTGGCATTATATTTTTGTGAATCTGTTTCTGAGGTTGTTTTGATAAAAATCAGATACTGTGCAAACATCATTGTGGAACAGGAAATGAGGGCGATGGTGTCCAGTTTGATTTCAAGTTCTGTGAAATTATATAGTGCATAAAAGGTATAGATGCCCAATTAGTCATTAACTGTAGTTGTTTAAGAGTGAAATAGAACTTTTTGTCTTTAACTTATGTATATTATTTTTTCAAATGGCTACTAAGTTTAGTACATAAATGCTATTAAATTATTGGACATAACCACTGTAGTTATTAAACAGAACAATTAGATAGCTTTGTTGGTTTGGGGGACACTATGAAAAACTATGGAGACTTTAAGGGTACTGATAACCAAAAAAGTTTGGGAATCTTTGCTATCTCAGCATCTTAAATTTTAACTTTTTTTTGTTAAGTCTGAAAGTAACTTCTCTTGTTTAGAGTTTTCCAGAAGACCAAGTTCGCCCTCTAGAGGCAAAACAGTGGTCTTGCTATTGAAGGTTTGTATTCTTATTTTATGGTAGTTTATCTTGAATATGCATGTGCAGTATTTTTTTATATCTTTATGTAGACTGACATTATATACTATCTTATACTAGGTACCTAAATAAATTACTGGGTGGATAATTGTTTGTTCATTGACACTCCCTATGCCTTTAATCTGTTTTTAATTTTGGAAAGCCACATTCTCTCTTTTTTATGTATATTGTATGAAAATTTGATGACTGGTTAGGAAAAGAACTTTTATTTTCATATAGGAAGGAGTGGAATTAAAATGCAGTTGCTGTCCTCTACAGCACCTTCTCTGGCTTGGTAAATGGTCATTTCTCCCAGCTACTTCTTTTAATTTTTGAACTTTACAGTTGTGTGTAGGTACTAGTATGTATTTTGGTGCCTTTTTCATGGGTCTCTTTGTTTTGGGGAGATGTGATGATGGTGAAATTGTTCTTTTGACCCTTTTCCACCCTCGAAGATGTATCTCTTTCAGCGTGTAATGAGACATGTTTCTGCCTCTCTCTCTCTGTACTTCCATGTGTCCTCTGCTCCCCATTCATCTCTTTGCTGTCCTCTTCCTTGCCATTGTCATTCTCCAGGAGGACATAATTTTCTCTTATTAGTAATAATATATTTACAGCTTTGTGTCTGAGACACAAATGTCTATGAAACATTTTTTAACAGCCCTGACTTTTAAACTTTGTAAAACATTATGAATGTAAAACTATATTTTAGCTCCTTTACCATGTACTCCTTTCAAATGGATGTTATATGTTTGGAATCAGAAATTAAAAATGAAGATATTGCCAGTAAAGCCATGAAGAATGTTAGGACACATCTGTCATGTTTTGGGGTAGGTTGTTAAGTTATTAATTAAGGCTGTAGAAAATGAATGTAGTTAGTAATTCAAGTGTAAATCTGCCTGAAAAATTGAGCAGTGCTAAAAGTACTATAATCAATTCCTTTGAGCTTTCTAAAGATGCCTTACTTGCTTTTAAGTGACAAAATAGAAAATATATTGGAGATTAGAATACTAGTATTATTTTATAGTATAATTTTTGAAAGCAGATATTTGGGATATGTTTGCCATATTTTAAAGTGTAAGTGTAGTTATGTTGTTGGGTCAGACTTTTTTTCTTTAGTGGAAAGATATATGGTTATAAACTAATTGTATAGGAAAGTAAGGTTTGATTTATAAACTTTTTCTCTGATTGTTTGATTACACAAATAACACGACTATATTCTCAATAAAATATAAAACATTATAGAAGATACATTTCATTTCACTTTCCCTTCACATTTTTAGGCTTTTTAAAATTTATTTTTCACATGGAAAACATAATTATTTTTTCATGTGTGTATATATGGTGTTACATAAATTTTTTTGTAACATTTCAAAAACGAAATGTCTATGTATATATATTTTTATTTTGCTTAATTTACATGTTGTATAGCTTTTCAGAGATGCATAAAGTTTATAAGTGAAAGGTAGTTGTAGATTAAATATTTTTAAACTGTATTCTTATAGTAAATTATATTAAAGATCTAATCAATTTTAGCTCTTCATATTCATTAACAGTGAAGAAACATAAAAATCATTTTAGGATAAGACCAAAGTCAAACTGATTCAAGTTTGGCATTTAACTTAGTCACTTCCCAAATCACATGAATATCCATAATATTATTTTATGAGGATTATCACGTGTGTTCTCTTGCAGGTGTGAAATTCCTGCTTGTGGCCTTTTGAACCAGTTGGTGAGCCATGTTAAAAATTGCATCTATTAATTATAAATAGTACTTCAGTTATACTGTAGTTCAATTGACCTGTTGTTTTTTTCTAAAAATTAATAGGCTAAAATTTGAATACAGCTGCATAGTTTATCTTATGACCTCCAAACTGCAAGTGAAAATGAGTACAGATGAGCCACATTATGTGTACTTGAACATGATTGCATACGAGATTGAATGTGTATAACCCTTTTGACATCAGATTGACCATCTTTCAGTGGAAAGTAATCTTTTCTTTTTTTGCTAAGCACTGTTTTTATATTGGCACCTTTAATGAGAAAATGAGATTGTAGTACTTAGGTGATGTTTCAGAATTTTCATCATTCATGCATTTTTTTTTAGTGAAGTTTTAGTTCAGTGATTGAATACCTCATGTAACTTTTTACAGACAAGGAAAAAAGTTTTAAGACAGTAGACTGATTTCTTAAACTGAGCACTTTATTTATTAATTAATTAATTTTTAAAAGGTTTTATTTATGTATTTTAGAGAGGGAGGAAGGTAAGGGGAAAGAGAGGGAGAGAAACATTGATTGGTTGCCTCTCCCATGCATCCCAAACGGGGGGGGGGGTTGGCCAGGCCCACAACCCACATATGTGCCCTGACCAGGAATCAGACCAGCAACCTTTGACTCTGCAGGACGACACTCAACCAACTGAGCCACTGTGACCAGGGTTTAATCTGAACACTTTAAATTGTGTAAAAGTAGGATAGGTCACTCATCATTTAAACCTTTGCTTTTGGAATTTTTATACTGTAGGAACAGTAACATAGAAAGGACTTGAATACATGTGCTTTGTGAGCAGTAGCTAAATATATAACCATTTCATGAGTGTTAGAGCTTGATTTTCTGGTTACTAACTTTATTAGTCTGTGTAGCATTAGAATATTTGAAAAGAGTTTATTGGCTTTAATTATGATTAAATATTGATATCTTTGGTGTAATACTGAATACCACAAAAAATAATTACTTCTTTCATTTTTGTTCAGTTGTGGAGTGACTGAACTATGTTCACTATTTTTGAGAAGTTTAAAAATGTTACACCCTTGCATGTTTATTTTCACCTTTATTTACCTAATATATTGTTACCTTGAAAAGGTAGTGAATAACTACCTTTGCAGCTGCATTTGTGTACTTTATTTATAGTTCAAGATAAATTATTGTGTGAGAATAAATTGATTTTATAAAAGTTAATTTGTGTGCTCTAAAGATTGAGGGAGGAATTTATAACAGCTCTGGATCTGAGCAACCAGGATAGGGAGGAGTATGAACCACAAGAGAGAAGCTTAAGTGAGTTAAACTAAGAGAGTAAGAACAACAAATTCTCAAAATCAGTAGGGTAGGATTTGGGAGAAATTTTTTTCCTGTTGTCAGAGACAGA